CCTCAGGAAGGTTGAAGTGCACTCTTCAATCTTCTCTCTTGTCTCTGCTCCAAACCATCAGCTAATTTGCTAAGGTTCTGTCCTTTCAGCCTCCTTCTGGACGGGAGCTTCTGTAAAAAGCTGGCTGCAGTTCGCCATCTTGGCTCCGCCCCCGAAAACTCTTCTTAATGTTTGGGTTTCCCCTATTTATTTTATGTTTAAAAATATTGTTCAGGTTTGTCAAATTCTAACATTATGCCTTATTTACATTTTTTTTAGTTCCATTTCTAATCTGTGTCCATTTTTAATTGTGCTAATTGTACAAATTTATGGGGTACAGCACGTTGTATCCTTTGTACCTGTTGACCGACCCCTGTCCTCTCTCCTCTTCCCTCTCCCCTCCCCAGCCCCAGTTCACCACTACTCTACTCTCTATTTCTACAAAATCAACTTTTTTAGATTCCAGATATAAGTGAGATCATGAAGTATTTGTCCTGCTGTGCCTGGCTTATTCTCGTAACATTATATCCTCCAGGTCCAATCATGTTGCCACAAATAACAGAATTTCATTATTTTTTATGGCTGAGTAGAATTCTATTCTGTAGATAGAAGCTTCTTTATCCACTCATTCCCTGGTAAGCACTTAGGTTGATTCTGCATCTCGGCTATTGTGAACACGGGAGTGCAGACACCTCTTCCACACACTACTGATTTCATTCCGTCTGAGTGTATACTCATAATACGATTGCTGAATCATTTGGGATTAACAGTTCTATTTTCAATCATTTTAAGACCCCTCCATACTGTTTTCCCTAATGGCTGTGCTAATTTACATTCCCACCAACAGGATCTGAACATTCTCCCGTCCCTACTTCCATCCAGCATTGACTTTTTCTCTTTTTGATAATAACCCTTCTAATTGGGGTGAGGTGATACCTTGGTGTGGTTTTCCACTAGTTTTCTATTAAAAAGTAGAAATATAAAAATTTTTAATTTAATTTTTAATTGAGGGCTGTTCCATGTTGTTATGTTTCCAAAATACTGTTTCCTATTATTTGACCAGTTCTAAATTTTTACGTAAGTGGCCAAAAATACATTGAAATATGTGCATTTCTTCCCTAAAAGGCTGTAAATGCATGCCTAAATTTAATATATAGTATTTTTGCTGTCATTCAGTTGAAAATGTTTTCTAACTTCTGTTCATTTCGTCTCTAACCTATTGGTTATTTAGAAGTATAGTTCTTAATTTTAAAATGCAACATTTTTTCTAGTTATATTCTTATTAATTTATATCATTTGGGTCCATAAAATTCTGTATGTTCTGCAGTTTTTGAATACAGTATTCTAATACATGTCCTGAGACTATGTAAGCAAAACCTGACAGAACGGCAAGAAAAAAAAATTGGTTCAAACCACATCAGTATGGAAGACTTTAATTCTTTCTCTCCCTTCCCTTCCCTTCCCCTCCCCTCCCCTCCCTTCCCTTCCCCTCTCCTCCCCTCCCCTCCCTTCCCTTTTCCTCCCCTCCCCTCCCTTCCCTTCCATTTCCTTCCATTTCTTTCTATTTCTTTCTATTTAGAGCTAGGGTCTTGATATGCTGCCCACACTGGTCTCAAATGCCTCGTCTAAAGCAACCCTCTCCCCTCAGTGTCCAAAGAACTGTTAATGCTTCTTTTTACTAAAATAAACGGTTTTAAAACCAATTCCTCATGAGGAGTTTATTTCTTAAAGTTTTAATCTTCTAGATCTTGGTCTAGATATTTCTTTTTCCTGTCTTACCAGCTCCCTGGTGCCTTCAGGCACACACAGTCCACTTTTAAAAAATAGTCTTTGGTAGAAGGGATTGTCTAGCTACCTGATCCATTACTTCAGGTTTGTATTTTAGAACAGTCTTTCCACCACACTCAGATATATGAAAAGATAGGACTTTATTCTTCTAGTCATTGTTCTCAGAGTTTGCCAGTCCCCTTCCCCCAACCTACTCATGACCATAAAGGCACAGGATAATGCTTCCGTCATCCATAGTAACTATGCCTGCGGATAAAACAATCAGTGCTAGCTCCTGAACAATTCTGTCCATTTCCTAAAATAGTTCGGGTCATTTTTGAGGTCCTTGGCTACTAACCCTTGGACATCTCCTTAGTCTTCTTCCCCTACATGTGCTAATATAGGTCCTAGACAACCAGCTCTTGGCTTAGATTAGAACCTTATACGATCTTATATCTCCAAAATGCTTCCTCCAAGACTACCCTGTAAAATCAGAGAGAGATCTCATTTTAATGTACGTACGAGGGAATTCAGGCAAAGAAAAATTAAAATCACTACACAGTGAGAATCCAAGGAGGCTCATTGTCGTCATCCCCACAGTAAATCCCATTACCTAGTTTTCACTTCTTTTACTCAAGAGGGTCTCCTACTGGGTTAACTAAAAGCAATATGAACCTCTGAGATGCTCAGTGCCCCTCTGGTTAATTTTATTAATTCTGCATATATTTAGTCATTCTCTTTCAATCTATTTGTTTAAGAATTATTTGTTGAGTGCCTACTATACGCGTGGGAGGCACAGAAGTGCTGCTCTTCCCTGAGAAGGCAATTTCAGCACTCTTTATTTTAGGACTGCCTGAACACAATTTAAATTTATGAAATAAATAAATGCTGAGATACAGAAGATGTTTATATCTCTAAAAAAGAATTCTGAAAGAAAATCATCAAAACTGTAGGATAAAAACTGTGAACTCCCTTTGTATATTGCTTTAACATTGTAACTGTTTTAAAAAGATTTGAGTAGAGGATGGCGTCTGTGGCTCAAAGGAGTAAGGCGCCAGCCCCATATGCTGGAGGTGGAAGGTTCAAACCCAGCCTCGGCCAAAAAAAAAAAAAGAATATAAAAGCAAGAGAAGAGGTCTTAGGTGGAGTTGCTGCCCACCCTCCTATCTCTCCCTGTGCAAATTGCTAAGAGTGAAAAGAGAAATGAAATGAACACACAAGCAGTTGATGCTTGCTGCCCTTCTGATTCCTTACTGCTGCCAAAGGCCTGGATTCCAGCTGGCACGTCTCCGTCATACCTCAGGCTGTTGCAACCACCAAAATCATCCTTATTATAATCCCAGTCAGGGCCCTTTCAATACTTGATATGTCTAAATGCTTCCTGATTATTTTTCTAGGAACTGGTAGGCCTGATGCCTGTGCCTCAACTGACAGGGCTGTGCCGAGAGCCAGGAGTCCCCTCCCTCTCTGCCTTCTTTTCCAGTCAGCCCCTCACATTTCCCAGAACAGGAAGAGCAGGAAACGCCAGTTACTCCAGGTACTTCTGGATGTAAATAACCCAGTATATGGAGGCATAGGACGTTAAGTGGTGATAACATTCTCTAAGATGCAAAAAAGCTTGGATGAAAACCATCCTTCAGTGTTTTCTTCTTTTAACAAAAAACGTGCCCAATTATTTCACTATTTCTTAAACTACTAAGCTCTGGAATGTTCATCTGTAGGGTTCCTGGAAGCAATGTTTGAACAGGAAACCTCTCTTCTGTAAAGAGAATTATTTGCATAATGCACTGGGAAGAAAATCTAACCTCGGAACCAAGAGTTGGGAGGACTTCATAAAATCTTTTTTCAGTTTCTGGAAAGAATTTTACTTAAGATATCATATTATTTTTTCTTCCTGAGAAAAGAGGTGCCAGAAGAAAACCAGTAATCTAAGAGGGCTGCCACCGGAAAACATAATTTTGAGGTTCCCCAAGAGTATCTGAAGTGGATTATTTTGTTTTAGGAACTATATCATACCAAGAGATTTAATTACTGCTTTTCTCTTTCTTGCTATTTCAGCAATATTCCTTTGAATTCCTACGGATTTCTCTAACCACCCAGCTTTTCATAAAATGTATTAAAAGTCATCTTAGTCTACACCACATTTGTAGTGCTAAATGTCTTGGGTGGCAATGAAAAATAATATGTTAGACAAAAGCCTTTGTGTCTCTGGGTTTGGTTTTGCAAGATGCTTAGCTTATCATGTATTTGGTAAGTATATACTTTAAAAACGTTTAATAATTTGACATATCTTCTTTCTTGCATTTTTTATCAGTTTATCCTCGTGTACTAATTCCTTCTCATTCTTTTTGTCTGGCCAGAGTGTATTTCTTATACTAGGTCCCCAAGAAATAACTGTATAGGAATAAAGGATAACTCCACTGTGTTTCCGTCGGTATCCTCTTGGGTCAAAGTTAGGCTAATTATATTTCTTAAAGCAGAAGTGACTGAGACAATCCAAAGTAGAGGAAACATTCAAATAACATATCGAATTCTGTTTTAGGACAGGGCATTGAACCCGGGAATTACACCTATGTTGGGGCAACAGAAAGAGTCCTGTTGGAGAATACGGACAGTCTCTCTGCTTTCACACTCACAAGAGATAGGTAGTGTCATCAAAGAGCCAGGTTGTCATATGCAACTTATTGCTGTTCCCTGGGTTATACCTAAATTCCTCCTGATCACGTGTATAGTCAGCCAATGCTATTTTTGGAGAATGATGTGTTGCGTAAATACAGCGTCTGTCCACTTTCGATTGCTCCAACATTTCAAGCATCCACTAATGTCAACTCATTATTTTTTTCACTTAATCATTATTTCAGCCTGTCTCTAAATATGTTCTTAACACTGAAAATTGTATGAGTTTAAATTCTGAAACTTCTTTACCAAAATACATAAGGCCTAGATTAAATTTTGAGAAGTAATCCTAGGGTTTCATTAAGTGTTGCCAAGGGAGAAGGTGGTTAAAAAAAAAAAGTAGGCTTTAGGATGAAGGATGTTAGAATAGATAGAATCTAGTGTAAAAATAGAAGTTTCATTCAGGGTTAAGTGTTTTAGGGAGCTACTATACTGTTGTAGAAAGGATATGATTAGAGGTTAGCAATACTGAGTGGGAATCAGATATCTTTAACTTCATGGTTGTAAGACTTTGGACTTCTGAGTTGGTCTCATATAACTTTAATTTCCTTATTGAAAATGCAGGGATAATAATTTATTTCGTTAGATTCTTGCCAGAATTCCATGATAGAACACTGTAAACTATATTAAACACTGAACACTATATTCAATTAGGCACTAAAGGCAAACAAGTACACAAACAACCAGAAAAAATTATAATCTAAGAAAGAAGGTAGCAGAAAATTTGCAATAGGTTCATGTTTCCTAATGTAAAATAAAATAGTCTTGGTTGATGTTTTCTTTTCCAAAAAAAAAAAAAAAAAGTAATTTCAAACTCCTGAATAATCATCCTATTAAAATATGTACTAAACTTTTGAAAGTGTACATGGAGAAAAAAATGTTTATCTGAAAGTTGGCCTGACATGGCTTGAGTCTCTTCCAGACTTGCCAGTGAAGTAGGGCAGGAACCAGTGTGTTTGTTTTTTAGTATGGTACATAAATAATCTTGGCCACAGAGGTCCCAAGAGTTCACTCAGAGTAGGTCTGTTTCTAATGCCGAACAAAAAACAAGTGCTGAAGAAAAGTGTAAACCTCTGAGAAGTCATCAACGAGGCATTTATAAAGAATAAATTGTGTACAAAGCTAATGTTCCCATTAGAGGTTGTTATGCCTACAGAGATGTTGGAAGGAACAGCACTTATTTTTTTTTCCCCAGGTGTCTATCTTTGTAGTACTAAGACTTATTTTTAAATCAGGTCTTTATGAGATCTGTACCCAGTGTCTATCTGGACACTGAGTAAGAAGTACTTGTGGCGGTTTAGCTGATCAGAACTTTTGTCTTGAAGGGTTTCTACCAGTGGGTCAACTGCAACACAAAAGGCATTTGCCTAACCTTCCACATCTTTCTTGCCAGAGATTTTCACAGAAGAGCTTGATTTAATCCTATTTCACAATGGGGAAACTGCAAACCAGCAGCTATCGTGCAGGTGGGGAAGGGATTGCTGAAGGATGCTCGTGCACCCTCACACACACTTTTGGAAGTGAGTTCAGTGCTCAGTTCCCCCAAATACTTTCTGACTGCCTTCGAGGTGCCAGAGAGGTAGTATAAGCTTTTGGAATACAAAGGAGAGTGTGTCATGGTTCTTAACCTTGAATAGCTCCTGTTTGGATAGGGTTGTGAGACAGGTACCTAAATATATGATATAAACTATAAAGTTGTAAATGAAAATGGAGATATAAAAGTACAGATAGAGGAATACTTAGGCCAATTTGGGGATTCCAGGGAGGCGTTTTGAAGGGTGAAATTTCTGAACCGATTCTTAGAGGCAGAGTTAGCTGCATGAGGCTAGGTGGAAGGGAAGCCTTGGTGGGAGCGACAGCCTTGGCAGAGGGAGTAGCCTGAGTGAAATCATGGAACTAGGTGACCATAATGTGTATAGTTTGCTAATGAGAAAGGACAGGGCAGGGTGGAAACCTGTTGGAAAAGGATTAGAGAAACCAGTAGTGGCCAGGTCATACAAGCCTGTTTGTAACTTTAAATATCTTCTTTTTGATCTTATAAGACATGGGAAAGATTGTGTTACCAGCCTCGAGACTGAACATGAAGTAGTAAGCTACTGAAATTGCTTATGCCAAAGATGCTAAGAGTCAAAATGAGGAACAAAGTAGAAAGAGCGGAAGGAAATATAGGTTCAAGATAGGAGGTGCAACTGGCAAAAATTAAACACTGAGCAAACGTCGTCATTTAATAAAATAGCGTTTTAGATGAAAGAAAATGATTTGGCAGGCGCAGACAAGAAATTCAGTTTTGAACATGTTAAGAATATAATGCTTGCGAGGGTGGAAGAACAGTTATATCCAGCAAGTCTGTGAAGAGAAGTCCAGGCTAGAGATAAAGTATTGCCAATGCTCAGTAAATACATAATAGTGAAATATGTGAAAGAATTATATTGCTTAGGCAGAAAGTATGCATCCATTCATTGATGCATTCATATACTGTGCATTCATTCTCAGCAAATACTGGCTGAGCACCTGCTATGTGGCAGGTACTGTTCTGGGCTCTGTCAATATGGTAGTGAACAGGTAGTTTCTGCCTCCACAGAGCACGGATTCTATAACCTGGAACAGGAAGTGTCTCCTCCAGTGGATACGCAAAGAGATCTCAAGGAGACTAAAATAGCAAGAGAAAGATCAGGAAAAGGAGGCTCCTAGAAGTCAAGGAAAGAGAGAATATTAAAGAGAAAGGAATGATAAACAATGTCAGACGTGGCAGAAATGTTGAGTGAAATAAGATCTCAGAAGTGTTCATTGGGCGTGACAGTGTAGGAGCCACGCTGACCGGGATGAACATAGATTTAATGGAATGACGGGGCATAAACTAGATACCAGTGTCAGGCCTAAGAAAAGCTGGAGACACAGTACAAAATACACGTGAGGGAAGTTTGAATGATAAGCAAAAGAAAGGGTGGAAATAGAGGGAGCAGAACACTCAGTCCAGGAATGGTGAAAATACCTCTTGCCCCAGTGCCTCATTTCCCATGGACTCTTGGCATCTTTGCCTTCTTATTCCGTGGAGTAAAACTCAACAACCAACAAAAGCATCAGAAGTTTCTATTTCCGCTCATGCTATCACTGTTCCCAAATAGTGTAGCTTTAAACCTGGGCTCCTATCTGTAATTGTCCCATCTAACCAATGCAGGATCTGCCTCTTCTTTAATTTCTATTGCTACCTACCTACCACAGACCCTTACTGTATCTCGTGTAGGCTATTGTGTCAACCCAGCGAGAGTTCCCTCTTCTCTTGTCTTCCCACCTAATAATCCATCACACCCACTGTTGCCAAAACAATCTTTCTAAAACACATTCCTGTTCACATAATTCCCCTGATTTAAAGGCTTTACTGGCTTTTCAGTGACAACCCCAAATTAAGTGCAAGCCCAATAAGCTGGTATTCTGATTTCTCTGCAATACGGTTTCAGCCAAGATTTCCTGTCTTATATTTACTTCCCCCCAACATGTACTCTGGGATCCAGTCATATTGGCCTGTTCATCTTTCTCAAGTTCAATTTCCCCTCCTTTGGCCGTGAATTCTCCCTTATATTGTCCAATTATTTTTATATTGCCCACATTTTATCTATCTTTTAAATCCCAGTTCTGTTGTCTTCTTAACTTTTTTTTTTTTTTTTTTTTATAAAGACAGAGTCTTACTCTATCACCCTCGGTAGAGTGCTATGGCTCTATCACCCTCAGTAGAGTGCTATGGCATCACACAGCTCACAGCAACCTCCAACTCCTGGGCTTAGGCGATTCTCTTGCCTCAGCCTCCCAAGTACCGGGGGTAGCTGGGACTATAGGCGTCCGCCACAACTCCCGGTTATTTTTTTTGTTGCAGTTTGACTGGGGCCAGGTCTGAACCCACCAGCACCACCCTCAGTATATGGGGCCAACACCCTACCCACTGAGCCATGGGAGCCACGTTTTTTTTTTTTTTTCAGAATTCCCACACTGCTTTTATCCTTTGAATTCTTACAACACTCACCCATAATAGTGCTTTTTGTGTTATAGATACTTGTAGGTTTCTTTCTTTCTTTCTTTCTTTTTTTTTTTGCAGTTTTTGACCAGGGCTGGGTTTGAAACCGCCACCTCTGGTATATGGGGCCGGCACCCTACTCCTTTGAGCCACAGGTGCCACCCAATACTTGTATGTTTCTAATCTCCACTGTACTTTAAAATCTATGAGAATGGAGAATATAGTATTTAACATGTTGTCTTTATTATCAGTGTCCTGGACACAAGGAGGTGGTTAAACAAATGTTTGGTAAACATAAGTGAATTCCCAAAGGTCTAAAAGTATGAAAGTTTTGAGTTCTAGGTCATCTCAAAGATGATGCAGTTTGTCCCTCTTTTTTAACTGGATAATTGAAGCGAAGACACGTTAAGTGACTTGCCCAAAGTCACATGGCTGGTGAGGGACAAAACAGCCCCACAAATTCCCTTTCCTGGCACTCAGTCCAGTCCTCTTTCCACTCATTACAGCACCTGTTTGGGAAGCGTGAGTTGAGTCATCATCCTTGTCAACAATATCCCTGAGCTTGGCACCACCATTAGCGTCAAAGACACAGAGTCCTTTCCAGTCCCACAAGTTTATGAGTCCACAACTTAAGGGAAATCTGGGAGGCGGCTTGAGCTGCCCGTCCAGCTTACCAGACGGAAGAGGGAGATGCTGTTCCCAGTGATGCTGTAGTGGCTCAGAACCTCGGAATCATTGCTGATTCCAAAGGACACGTCTTGATGTTTCTGCACCATGCTACGGAAGATGGGTACTGCTGGTATTTCTAAATCCTAAAAACAAGAGAAACAAAACTCCACAGAGGTTATTTTGGAGGAGAATATGAAAGAAAAATATGCTTATTCATATCAGGAATTATAGACTTGATGTAGTGCCCTATGAAACATCATTGGCCTGTAAGAATACAGGCTAGATTTGCACTGGCATTCTTGAATTTTCCAAGCTATGTGAGTTAATAGGCAATTATCAACATTATGGCTAAGCCTGGGATTTGCATCTGGGCTTATCATAGAATTTGAAGTTTCCGCATAGCCGAGAGAAGCCTCAAAATCACAGAGGCCTGCAGAGTTGGGCTGTGTTGTTGTTGATATACCTGAAGAGGAAATTCTTTGGGGGAAGAATTTGTGAAGTACAGGGGAAAAAATGAAAAAAATTAAGAAATAGGTGCTGCAAAAACGGTCAAAAAAGGAGGGGGAGAATAAAACCTTTGTTATATTAGCAGAAGAAGTTTGTGCAGGATGTGGAAGGACAGTCCATCTCCTGTCACTGGATGATGCTGTTGGCACCCATGCCCAGGCCTGCAGGAGGGAGCGGGGAGGCCACTTCCCGGCAATGACTCCAGTCCTCCCATAGAGACTAGCCCGCCACATTTTCCCTGCCACTGCAAGACTCAGCACAGGGCAGCTGCAGTCAGTGAATAGGAACAAACATCCTCCCTGCATCACCCTGGGCTGAAGGAGGAGAGGAGAAAATGGGGAGAAGAAAAGATGGCCCACCAAGGTGGGGGATGGTAACTTGCTCTTCTGAAAGGGTGTGTGTTTATTAGAGGGAAAAATAATTCGCTGTGGGTTCCTGTCTTTTATTCTGTTTCTTCAAATGGAATTGCTCAGGGATGGAACAACGACCTCTGGTGGCTGTTTTAGTTATTTCACTCTCCTCCAGTTCCCGTCTCTTGTCCTTCCGTCTTTCGGAGGGGGACTGTTTCTGTCTACCGCTCAGATGGCTCCCCCTGAAAACGGACTCCCTGTCTTGCTTCCCCAGGTGCATCTCACTGGAGCTATTTCTAGCTGTGTACGCAGCATCCACAGTGTGACCCTAAATTGGAATTGATTTATGCACATCAACAAGAAGGTCTGCCATGAGAAATTTCGCAGGGGCTTGACCAGCTGTGGGACGCACCAGATGCTGTAGCCAGAGAAGGCTGACAATGCTGGGATGTTGCCTCCCATTTACGACTGCCTGTGTTAGACAGGTGGCAATCTGAAAGATGGAGGTTAATACCTTGGATGTACAAAATGTCATTCACTTCCAACACTTCAGAGGTGGTGAAGAGAAAGAAGATGAGCCTACGAAATTGGGGAAAGGGTTTAGACAGAGGTAACTGTTACGTGAAAGTGTTGCTGGCCGATGACAGTTGAGATTCCTTTGGCCCCTGCCTATTCTTAGGGTGCTATGAGAATATGGACTAAGGGCCGTTAGGACAATGGTAGGGTTTGAAGAAGATATTCTTCCTGCAGACGTAAGCTTAAAAGCATGCATGGATGAGTTGATCCAGCCAGTGGACTCAGAACTCTTGAGGCAGATCTGAGAAAGGCGTAGAGACTGCGAATGCCTAGAAATTAAGAGGTCTCAACTGACGTGCTGAAAGCAAACTGTGTGCACACCACCCCCTACTTCTAATGCAGTGTCATCTGGTCCAGCAGTAACTGTCATGGCCCCCTTGAGGTAGAACATTTCTGGCTCTTGGGGAGATATTAGGAGCAAGTGGAACATCTGGACTGACCTGGAAGAAACCTATGACAGCCACTTCTGCAGCGGTGATGTACTCCATGGCAGCTGGGACATCTGGGAGCCACACAGGTTCCTGGGCAGCACCAGGACCATCTAGAGAGAGAGAAAGAGGAAGAGAGAGAGAGAGAATGACAAGGAGAGAGGGAGAGAAAGATATCGAGATCAGGGTACCAAGAGGAGAAGCAGCAGCTCTAAAAAATGAAGGCAACTTTACCTTTTCTCTCCGAACTAAAGCCAAGGAGCTCACAATTTCTAAGAGTGCTGGTGTCATTCCAAGGCATTATTTTTCTGCTAGCATATGGAGCGTGACCCTCCTATGGTCTCTTTCTGCGGGATACTTCCAGACTTCTCACCTTTCACTAGACAGCACACACCTTATCCAGCATTTCCTGGAACGTTGTCTAGGTTTGGAGGATAAGTACCCAGAGCTGCTATCATGCTCCCTTCCCTTCTTCTGACAACACGCTCGCCCTATGATTAATTACCCAAGTGTGTTTTTTCTTTTACCTGAGGAGTTCTCAACTTCTTCAGCAACTTCTTGGGCCCGATGACACGTGAGGAGAAATAGGAGAAACAGACATGTAAACTGGGCAGCTTCCATTGCTCCTCTCCTATCCTGCGCCGACCCTGGACTTGGGGTTTTGGGTGCCAATTCAAGGCGACCCACTCTGTAACTAATTGGCTGTGGGCTTATTGGTGCTCTGGGAACTTTGCAGCTGGCTCAAGGGGAACCTTCAACTTCTGAGATAAAAGAGCAAGTTTAGTGACAGGACCTTAGAACATAGCCAACCAGAAGAAAGTCAGATCAATTTATTTAAATTAAAAAAAAGTAAATATTCTGTGCCAGGTATTGACCTAAGTCCTAGGAATACAAAGGTATTTGTGATCTGATATGGCATCTGCCAGCTTAGACTGTTAATAGGAGAGACAGACAGGTTATTTAAATGTAAGATGGAAATTGGTAACAGGTAGAAAAATTCACAGGGCCCACCAGAGTAGAGACTAAGGGTATTTAGGGTAATGATAGGGCTCCACGAAGGAGTTTCTCATTTGGAAGATGTTCAAGCTGAGCGCTGGGTAAGTAAGATTTTCATCAAGCCACAAAAGGTATGAAAGGAGTTTCATGTAAGAGCCAAAGCAGAGGGATGCAAATATAGGGTATGAAAGAATTATTCGTAATCGAGAACTCCCAAAAGGAAGGGAATGATAAACGTGGTGGGGCCAGCTCACAGAAGGCCTTACATGATAAACTAAGCAGAAGAACTTCAACTTTATTCTGTAGGTGGTGGGAACCCCCTGAAGGTCCTAAGGAGGAGAAAGAGACACTATTCGATCTTGTCCACAAGAGCCTACGGGAAACCCAAGATGAGATTTCCGTGGCTTTGGGACATAGAGGTCTCAAGCATAGGAGAAGCTTCCATGTGAGAATATTTTAAGAGAAACTAAATGTAGATTTTCCATGGTCTGTATTCTGAATGCTCTCATTGCCCATTGCAGAGTATCAGAGGGACCGATGTGTTCCCAATAACATACATATCCCACCCAGTGTGTTCCCTTCCTCTCCCCTCAGAGGGAATGCACTTCAAGTTGCCATATTTGTCCTACAGAAGAAAGCAGAAAAACGAGGGTCTCGGCAGAACAAACAGTTGTTTTATTCTTACTATCTAGCATTGTTTACAGTGTCTCCCACAAAAGAAGGACCCCACCCGGCAGGGGACGTGACTAGGGATGTGATGGGCCAGCAGCAACCCCAGAGGAATCCAGGGATGGGAATGAGGATGGGAACGGAGACAAAGGGACTGTTAGTGATGGCTTGCCTGCTTCCCTGCCTCTAGGTGCTCCAGTGGGAATGAGGGAGGCAAACACTGAAAATGGTGTATTGAGACGGAGAGTGGGGAATATCCACCCGATGGAGGCAGGCAGGTTGAAGGCCCAGTTAAGGCCTCCTCTGCTGGGGAGCACTGGGAGAGACAGGGCAGAAAAGATGGCAGTAAGGGCCATGATGGTTAGCGACCCAGCTGTAGACTGGGAGGAGGGGCAGGGTGGTGGACACGGCTGGAGATTCTTCTAGGTGGCAAGAGGGGGAACGGGCTGGGGCGGTGCACTCATTCTGTCCACTCCTTCTTAATGGACAAGTTCCACTCCCAGGTGAGGTGGTCGTGCTTGTCGTCATCCGTGAAGAAGGACTTGTTGTGGTATGTCCCTCGGGCCAGCATGCCCTTGGGAGCCTCCTCAGTGGGAGTGAGGAACTCATATTCCTCTGCCCGGGGCCCGTAGCTGCCAACCATGAATGTAGCTTTATCCACTGGGAAGAGAAAGAAGTTCATGAGGGTAAGAGTCCGACAGGGGAAACACACACACTGCAAACTGGAGAACTGGGAGTTTCCAACCCCAAGTGAACATCAGGTTTACCTGGGACATCTGTTTTCTTTTCTTTAAAACCCTTTTTTAAAAAATTGGAATGCTTTTTAGTAATGCAGTTTCCTTTGCCTCCCTCCCAAATGCTGTGGTTCAGTAACCTGCCGTGGGGCCTAAGAATCAACATTTTTATAAAGCAATACAACTGGACTCTGAGTATCAGGAAAGTTGGGGAATCAGTGCCCTAATCTACCGGGACTTTCTTTTTTTTTTTTTTTTTTTTTGGAGACGAAGTAGATTGAGCCATTAAATAAACCCAGACATGTTGAGACTTGAGTTCTGGCCTCAGCCCTGCAGCTACCTAATTCACGTAACATTTTTTCGAGCCTCCATCTATTTTTCTATGCAATGCAATTCTATGTACAAACTATCACCGCATGAACACGTCAGCTGGGGTATGTTAGGTAACAGGTGGTGATCGGAAGGGGCAGAACTGAATTCTTGGTAGACTAGTTGGATGGAAAGGGAACATTAGTAGGTTACTTTAAAAAAGTGAAGACCTGAGACAAATGGTGAAGATAAGCCACTACATTTATTTATAGGTGAGTAAGCGGGGTATAAAGAAGGGTTTGGGATTGGAAAGTAGTAATACGTGTCTCATTAGGCAGACAAGCAGCATACAGTTGACTGCTCAGTGTTGATAATAAGTTTGAAGGAACAGCTGCAGACATGTCATTGTCCTTTTGCATTGGGGAGGCAATATAGTCTTATCCCCAAAGGAAAATCACAGCAACCTCAAACTCCTGGGCTTAAGCGATTCTCTTCCCTCAGCCTCCCAAGTATCTGGGACTACAGGCGCCCGCCACAATGCCCGGCTATTTTTGTTGTTGTTGTTGTAGTCGTCATTGTTGTTTGGCAGGCCCAGGCCAGGTTCGAACCCGCCAGCCCCAGTGTATGTGGCCAGTGCCCTAACCACTGAGCTCCAGATGCCGAGCCTGAACTAGTTTTTCATGACACTAGGTATTGGAAAGGCCGATCAATAGCTTTCAGGTCAATGTTCTTCCCTGGGATTTGAGCAATTGATTGGTTTTCCATGTCATGCAGATTTATCAGACAATTTCTCCCTAATTGTTTGTTTATTAATTTGGTGGGACTGAACTATGCTTTTCCTACTTCAGGTGAATAGGAACTGTGAAGATCTTTCCATCACCTATGTTGCCTCTTAATTCTCTCTTTCCATAATATCAAAGGAACACTGAAGGCAGATTCTCAAGGCATGTTGATATGCACTACAGATTATGCGATGCTGTTTATTATTTGTTGCAATTAGACAGCTTTTTCTCAATCCTAGAAAGGGTATTTTTAAAATTTCTTTGTCAGCAAATTGAGCCTTCCCCATGGCCAATGCCACTGCCCCAACTCCTACCCCTAACACACATATCACTGGGTAAGTCTTTCTTGTTTGGAGTTTATCTGACACTTGGGTTTTATGCTCATGAACTGCTTTTATACTTTTGAGAGTATTTTTATATACTTTATATTATTCAAAATTATCTTGTTTACTCCTCCCTTTTATGAGTAATAAAGTTGAATTCTAGACGCTGATCGCTGAAGGGTTGTGGCTGACCAAGTCTCAGCGAGGTCTCCTGAAGGTTAGCCTTGCTATTAATGTCTAGGCCAGAGGCATATGTGTGCCTATCCATAGCTTTTATCAGATTCTTATGCATCTGTGACTAAAAGTTGTTAATAATCAGACATTTCAGTATCAGTGAGAAGCATTGTGGGGCAATGTGAAGTGTGGGGTCACTCACCTTTCACCCCAGTCCGGTAGGTGTGCTGAACATATTTCAGGCCTGACACGATATCCCTGTTCACCTGCAGGTGGGGAGGATCAAAGCAACTCAGATTAGAGAGGGTTTTCCATTTTTTTCTCATCTTTCATGTTGAGCCTGACAAACGGAATCTTGTCTTAGAATGAAAATACTGAAGATTTAGTTCAGAATAAGTGTTCCTATAATCATTTAGCATGGGCATAATGCAGTGATAAGAGAGAGGAGATCACAAGACTCAGTGTTGTCAATTTGGTTTTAATTATTGACCATCATGAATTTTATTGTCCGGGAGTGGTTCATTAAAATATTGTCTCAATATTCCTTATTGTATTTCTCCTTTCTCAGTGGTCCAAGCTTGGCCTTGACCTTCCCCTCCCTGATACTACTGGCTGGCCAGGAGATGATCCTTGTCTTAGAAAAGTTTATAAAGATACCAAGGGAAAATATTTTATAAATACCCGAAAACCATAACCACAGAAATGATCCACCTAGGATATGAAAAACAAATAACAAGGAGAAAAACGGTAATGGAAAATCAGGTCTAGAAAATGGCCATGCCTTCAATGCAAATGAGATTGGAGTCGAGAGGTGAGATGGGCCACACAAAAACATCCTTCTTCATAAACAATTGGTGAGATCCACTCGCATCTGGCAAGCGTTTGAGATGTCTGTCATATTCAGGTGTTGCCTGAGATCTTGCTAATTTTCCCAGGCCTGTCAAAGAAAATTCACTAAAGCAGCATGAAAATGCAGACAGTCCAAGCACTTAGTTTTTCCATGATTCATCTTACCTGGGACTGACCCAGGTTGTCTGTTAATTTTATACCATGGTCATGTCTATACAAACAAATTAAAGTGGACATTGCATCATTAGCAGGAAGGCCTGGTTAACTATTCAGCAATATGGAGAAGGAAAGAGTCTTCACATAATTTTTCTCCAACAGTAATTATGACTCCCTTTTTATTTTGGCCACAATAGTTAACCAGTCAACCTGTGCTAGCCGTGTTGGTGGTGAGGGAGCAGAACACTGCCAGCTTAGATTCTAAACTGTCACTCAGGAAATTCGTAGAAGAAACTTACCAAAATCAGGCAGAATGAAACAGTTTTACTGAAAAGATGATGACAAAGTGAAGCCCAAACTTTCTAAACCCCAGATGTAGCTCACAGGGATAGGAAAAAATTAATGCATCTTTCTAGAAGTCCCTAAGCTTATACCTTAGACCTAGTGGGAGATGTAACCTGGTAGGACTTAGTGGGAGATGTAACCTGGTACCATTTTCTTAAGAAGAAAAATGGTAGTGAGATAGGAGTAAGAACTTTAAGACAAAGAGTTTGCCATTTTACCACTGCTCCATAGAGGGGCCGGTCAACAGAAATACACTTGGGACGGGTGACAGAAGAGTATGGCTGGTCACAATATCCTCTTCTTCTGCCTACACCTTCTCCCCAAGGTGTCTCCCACCCCCAGAGGAGGAAGCTTCAGTGATAAAAATAAAACTGAGGACCTTTGGGAGGCAGAAGGAAAGGGAAGGGGGAACCAGAAGAACCATCCTAAACCACGTTTTTAGAAAATGCTGCAAAGGTTGGAAAGAAAAAGAGAAGAGCACTGAGAACAACAGAGATAAGGAAGGAGGGTTTTAGGATGTGGTGTTATAAACACAAACTTTCCTGGGTATTTTTCAAGAGGTGTTAGTAGGAATTTAAATTGCTTTTCAATTATTTCTGACTTTGCTCTGGTGTTTCTTCTAATGGTAGCTCCACGCTGGAACAGGCCACAGGGTGGTTCGACTTTGCACAAAGAGTGGTTAAAACTCTGAAATGGATGAGACTTGGTACTGCCCTTCCTGTCCTCCGGCATCACCCTCATATGTGACCCAGAGGCTCCAGGGCCACCCCACTGGGCTCCTCCTCAGCTTCTCCACCCACAGCAGAAGAGCTTTTCTTCTCATCTTATTCACCCCCGAATTTACCTGTCACATTTCATTTGATAAAAACTAGCTAACTGAATCGACAAATTAATGCAATAGCTTTGAGAATTAAAAGTTGAACTGATACACAACCCATTCTAGGCGTGTTTGGATGGGGTGCCTCACCAAAGCTCAGGTACTTCCGAATAAATGACAGGAAACAAGCAAGTGCACCCCACCTCAATGCTTACTATAGAGGAGGTGTCAACAAATATTTCCAGAAGGAATTATTTTGAGGTATATTTGTTTGTGGCGAGTGATTGTCCATTGACCCTGAATCACATCCTGCACCTGGTGGAAAGAAGATCCCAGTGTGCAAATAGGGAGCATCGGGACTTCCTTGGTGGAGCCTGGGCCCTGGAGAATAAGGCTGAGAATGAGGGGCAGCCAAGACCAACACAAACCAGGCAGTGCAAACAGTGCATTTCTGACTTACTTGTTTTCAAAGTCAAGGCTAATTTTTTTTTGACTTGGGCTACTCATCAGGATATATGGCTCTTCATTAGATGCCAGTTTCTTCCTTATTTAGCTCTACTCTTGCCTGGTCATCTGCTCCACAGCTATAATTATAACGTCCAGTTATTTAGCAAAGATGACACTCCCTGGATTTATATAATCATTGAGCAACTAGAGCTGAGGCCCTATCTGTCCTATTTTCCTGTTAGTTGATTCATTATTTGTTCACATCTCATATATGCAAAAAATATCTACCATATACAAGGTTTGTGTAAAATATTGGAAAGAAGGGACATATCATTTCATCCTACCTCCAGGTGCTTGTGTTGTAGAAAGTGGGATTGACCCAGAGGGGACAATGGGAAGCAGTGTGTGCCTCGGGGCTATATCAGGAGTTCACAGAGAGAGGGATCCCGGGGGCTTAAGTGACAATGGACAGTTTAAGGAGTCCTGGCTGGGATAAGGAACAAAGCAAGAGCCTGTCTCAACAGGGAGAACTGAGAGTTGGAAAGAGGAACGTTTCAGACCCAGGCGGGCGTGGAGGCCAAGGTGGGGACAGAAACACAAAGTATGCCAACACGATAGTGCAAGAAACGTAGCCACTGATGATAGGAACGATTTAAACTTTGCGAGAAACACTCAGGATAAGATACTTACTTTGAAGTGAATTTTGACTTTATATTCAGCACCTTCCTTTAGCACAAAGGTTTCTTTTTTGAGGGCTTCGAGATCCCCTGTAGACAAGGATTTAGAAAGCATTTATCCTTCTCAAAGGCAGATACATAAATTGATGCATGAAATTGAAGCTCCAGAGCCATTTGTTGGGGACATCAGAAAATGCTGGGCCATCGGGCCCTCCATTCAGAGAGTAGTAAGTCCCTGTATACACACCTATCACGCCTGAACTCTTGCAGCTCAACGATGAAAGAAACGTAGTAGTTTCTCCATCCCCAAGTTTCATGACAATGTTAAAAATAGACAAGGCATTACCAGTAACGAGTGATGAAGATCCATCTCTTCTAATTGTCAATACTAAAATAGGTTTTAGTCAACCGTTCTAGAAGAAAGTCTAAATTATCTTTTTCTTCTTTCTATTGAAGATGATATTACCTATATGTGATCAAATCAAGAAGTGATTAAAGATTGTGCCTCTACCTCCCCAATAAAGAAATAGAACGTTATTATACAGGAGTGCAGAAGTGCCATCTACTTGTTTTTAGAGATTTGGTAATGTCTGTGGAATTTTCCTAGCTTTCAAAAATTTCCTCGTTTTTGTTCCTTTTTATCATTCTAAATAAATATTCACTTTGCATTTGTTTTTGCATTTGTATGTATTTATAATTTCCTATCTTTTTTTTAGATCACTGAAGTTATACAAACTTTAGTTTCCGTAAAACTAGGATCTGCCCCTAATTCCTGTACCTTGGTGAGGGGGGCAATCACCATCTGTTCTTTTCTCAGCGTGCTCCCACATAATTTGATATGCAGGTGTGTGTGTGTGTGCGTGTGTGTTGCACCTCTCTGCACATGTACTTCCTGAACATAGAGGTACCAGCAAATCTCCTGCACCTCTGGGATTCACCTCAGCAGCTTCTTTTTGACAGAAAATCAAATCTGCGTTTCCTCTGCTGGACAAGGAGGCAGAGACCAAGTGTCCTCTGTGATAGCAGCAGGCCCTTCTACGCAGAACAGATTATCTTTGTGCCCATTCAGACCTGATGTGGCAAACGGACAGCGGTACCTGTAGCATTACATGATTTTGCACAGGAAGAAGTGTAGGAGAGCAAGTTTCTCTCCTGGATAGAGAAGGTGCTAGAATGTGGGGGTAGTTGAATTTGTGTGTGTACTGCTCCGATGATTTCAGTTGAACAGGAAGTGTGTCTTCTCAGCTTCTGATTTCCTCCTTCTGACAAAAAAGCCCATATAAGGTAAAGACTGGATACACACAGCCCGTAAGAGGGGAACTACCTTGCGGCTAAGCCTGCTCTTCTAGACTCGCCCTTTGCTCTGTCTCAGAAAAGTCCAATTTTTTAATTTGGTAACTTTTTTTTTTTCACTGAAGACCTGCCTTTGATGCCCCCGATTTCCTGGCTCTGTGCAACTTTTCTCATTCCTCTCAGATGCCCATTTCTCCACCATCCACTCTCCCCATATCTCCTTAGGACCTGGGTTTCAGCAGAGGGATGGACCCTTAGTCACAAGGTGAAAGAAAATAGCACCATACTCTACATCTTTAGCAGAGCAAGCTGCCCATTTAATAAAAATGAGAGCTTTAAGCTAAAACCGTAAATTTACTGCAGTGGAATTTCTAACATTATTCACAATTGCTGCTGGCCTTCAGGGAAGTCTTATAGCTGATAGAAGACCATTTTTTAAAAATTGTTAGACTATGTAAATACTACAACTCCAGAAGCACATGGCTTGCTTCTCAATATTTCCGTCCTCAGTCTTTTCTCCATGAATAGTCATTTTCTTACTATTGTGCAAATAAAAATCTGAGCTAAATATAAATAATTACATCATGTGTATGCCTGCACTCTCTTCAATTAAATAAAGAGTGTGCTTTTCATTAAGTAAATACTGTGTACTCGAGAGCAAGGATATGTAAACTGGTCCCAGGATATATACCTCGGGGATTCATCTTACTAGGGTTTTCTTTTTCTGGGATGGGAGACAGAGACCGAGGTTCCTCTGTGACACGTTAGACCCCTCTGAGCTGTACAGATGTGTCCACTCACCAGTAAGGTCCATGGTGATTGGTCCGGGGGCACTCTCACAAACCAGGGTAAGCCGAGTGACAGTGACGTTGGGGACTGTTGGGTCTGCAGGGTTCAAAAGAAAATGTCAGCACAGGGAAGAGCTCTGTGTGTGTACTGAGGGCGTGTGCATTCCAAGTGGGAGACAGAGCATGTAAAAAGAGAAATGGTCTCTCTTTCTGGAGTAGAAATGGAAGCAGAGTGACACCTTCACCATGCTTGATCTTGGTGGCTTTCTAAATGACAGCAATGCCTTTCTGCTTCAGACACTTGTATCTCTACCATAATTCTCAACATCTAGCGTGCCCTGAGTGGCAATGCTAGTAAGATACTCTGGTGGTTGGGCAACGCCCGTTCATATCATTGGGCCGTGTCTTGCTCTGTTGTTGTATATGCTGAAGAGTTGAATATTTAGGTGAAAACTGAGAAGCAGAAGAGAGAAAATGTGAGAGGTGGTGGAGGAGGGGAATAGGATTCAAAATGATAGCCAGGAATTCTTTGTAAATCCCAGATGTTGTTATTGCCCACATCGTTGATTTCCATCTGCTCTCCAAAGAAGACTTAGGGATATGATCCATAACTTAATTCAGCATAAGGAAGAAGTTAGTCTCTTCTCTGTGACCCTCCTCCTGAGTGACAGAAGTGTCTGCCTTCTCAGGAACCCTCCTCCTACTCCATCCCCACAAGTACACGCACCTGCTACCACAGGGCCGTCTCCCAGCAGCGTTTTCTTGTACTTGGTTAGACTTTCATCGTCTTTGTCCATCTCCTGCAGCTCCTTCAAGGACTTCTGAGGTGGAGGCTTGTAGTTGAGCTTGCCGTCCAGATCATCCTCATCCTCCTCAAGGTGGGGCTCGGGAGCATTCTCGGTCATTTTGATCTATTTTAGAGGGAGGCAGGGCAGGTGATTAGCCAAAAGTCGGTGGATATGAAAGATGGTGGGGCTGCTGGAAGCACCATTCTTTCCCTGATGGGCTTTGTAATCATCAGCGACTTCCCCGATTTTTTCCTAACTCCATCTCATTATAGTTCATGATATAATAACAATATGATATGTTTCAGTCATTTCTCTGACCTGCCTGAATTTCTCTGTACTCTGACGAGTTATTGCCTATGCATTGACTAAAATTGATTGGAAAGAAAGAATAACGCACTTGTGCATAAACAGACTATAAGTGAAGCCACATGGGGCAAGCCATCCTGAACAGCAAAGCAACAGCCTGGTTTTAAGTTATCAGAATTATCAGTCCTCTCACCCAGCCAGCCTTGCCAGGGTCAAAACCCTCAGCATGCACAAGCCCAGTAAGAAAGGCTTACAAAGGCAAGTAGAGTACCTGCCCAAGGAATGGTTGGCTTCTTCTGATTAATTGAATCTTTCCCTGAACTCCGGCAACACCTCAAAGGTGACTCAAGGAGTTGACGCCAGCCTGAGGCATCTGATGGTTCATACCCAACACTGCTAATACCACCTTGAGGGCAGGTTCTAGGTTTCTCCAGAATCCCCCATAACACTTGGATAGTTCAGGCATTTGGTAAGTTTTCATTGATTGATTTATTAAGTTCTCATACATATAAAGATATTCTGTTCTTTGAAAATGCCACAAAATTGCAGAGGACACTTGAGATTCTTCTGGACAAAATTGTAGGTATAAGTTTGTCCTGGGTATCCTTCCATCTACGTCCCCTTTCTGGACCCATTTCCCTTCTCGTTGCCTCCTCCCTGCCCCAGGTCTGCAGGGACCTTATACCCTAAGGCCCCACCTGGGCACCCCCTTTCTTTTTCTAGCAACATCTACGTTTACTTCTTTTGTTTTAAAACATTGAGGGGAAGTCTAATAAAATTATTTATATGTAAGTGGTAATGACTTACATATAAATGGATTATTAATCCATTATGGATTATTCCTTTGGGAATGGATTATTCCTTTGGGGGCATGTATAGTCACAGCTTTTCAGAGCCAAAATGAACCTTTGAGGTGATATATTTCAATCTCTCATTTAATTATTGAGAAAATTGAGATCCCAAGGTTAAGATAATTGCCTAGATACCTGTAGCTGAATGAGAGGGAACTTCCTAACCAAGAGGAAGAAATCCCAGTGGGGAGAATTTCATGTCTGTGGCTGGCAGCCATGGGAGGTAATTGCCTGGGAGATATTTGGGTGAGGAGATGATTTTCTCATTCCCCCTGGTTCCATCTTGTGGGTATTGCTGTTCTTTGTCTGACATAACTCTAAAGCAGTATCTATCACATCTCATCCTGAGTGGCTCTGCAAAACTTTATAGTCTTGTGAGAGAGTGAAGATAATCTTGGGCCAACATCAGTTATGTTTTTGATTTATTCATGTTACTATCATTGGAAACAGGAAGAAAAATAATTTGGAAGTCAAGCCACACAAAAGCAATTTTAGCAGAATTAAAATAATAATAAAAGAAAGAAAACAGAAAGATGAAAATGATATCCTTTGGCTCAATCAATCTTCTTCCCGCTAAGTAACAAGCTGAACATTACCAGTGAGCTTTGACCAGCTCTGAAACAGCATTGCCATGTTGAAGTCCATTTCCTGTACAGGAAGGAAACATGCGGGCCGTTTCTATGGTAACACTTGTCTCAGCTGAAGAACCAGCACCACTCAAAGCTGAGGCTCTACAGCACACCAGAATAAACACCACGACTAACTCAGCTCATATTTCAAACAACACTCTGTGAAAGTGAATGAACTGATTAGAAAAAAGAAAAAAATGAAGGATGCCTTGCCTGGCTTTTATAGGTTATGGGGAGTTTAAGGACAATTGTTAAGGGGTGGATGGGTAACAAACCAGAAAAGATTAATCGGATAAAACAGGATCTTGTCAGTGACGTCAGGGGCCTACTTAGACCCCAGGTGATCCCAGGAGAGTAAAAGCCACATAACAAAGCTGCTGACAGCATTAGGAAGGCTGTGTACAGGGGAGGGGGAGGTGGGCATCCCAGCCCTGATGGGCAGGCCTTTTTGGAACATATCACTTGGATCTACTAAGTCACGCCAAGCTCAACCATCAGATGGTGACATTGCACCCAGTTACTAGCTCAAGGTGATTTCACTAACCTCTATGGAATTATAATCATGCTGCTCAAATCTCAAATTTGAAAGGAGAAAGAGAGAGAGAGAGAAATGGAGAAGGGGCAGGGGGATGGGGGAAGAGAGAAAGAGATCCGATCTAGCACAAGATTAGCCACAATTCAGCTTCCAGCTCAGGATCATGTTCATCCACCCCAAATACTGACTATGCAGAAGAAGTTATCAGGTGACCACAAGCCTGGCAGAGGGGCACAGGTGCGTAGGGCCATAGGGAGCCTTTTAGGGTTGATTTTGGATAGTCACCTCTTCACTGAACTAGGCCTTATCAGGCATGGGTTTTTGTTCCAGCCTTCCTACCAACTAGCTGTCACCCTCTGTGTGAATGTTTTAACCACTGTGAATCTTACTTTCTTATCTCGGGAGATGGGGATTCGCACGGCCCTCCTCTAGACGCTTGACTTTTCTAAGGCCTCTACAGCCCGCAGTCACGTGTCAGCTACGTTACCAGACCTTCAGTTATCTTATTTTACCTATGTGTATAAGAGAATATCTAGTTCTGTCCAAAGGCACTGCATTTTAAGCTTTATTTAATTTTTCACAGAGGGAAAATTATTACTTTTTTCACTCAGTCGCTCTTGGCATAATAAGGAATACCATAATAATAACAGCAGCTAGTTACTGAACACTGATGAGCCCTAAACTCAGCAATTATAGGCTAAATGCTCTACATGCATTATTTTATTCAATCATCACAATACCGTGAAGTATGCACTATTGGTTACATTTTACAAATGCAGAAACTGAATATTTCAGCTGTACAAAAGTTCAGAATTTCTATTCAAAATAAGACCCTATAGATAGTGAAAAGAGTATTGGCCCGGCTCTAGAGAGGAGACATTTGCAATGAATATATTCACAAGAGATTAATATCCAGAATACATAAATACCTCCTACTAATCATTTTTCATAAAACATTTTTATTGTAGGTGAGTTTAAAGTACAAAACAGGATGTTTTATGGACATAGATAATGAAAGTGTTACTGTAGTCAAGCAAGTCCACATGTTCATCATCTCACATAAGTACCTTTTTTGGTGGCAAAAGCACCTATCATATACTCTCGTAGCAAAATTCCTACTCACAGTACAAAATTATTAAGTTTTGTAGTTTCAATTTCACAATTTATCTCTGGATAATGTCAGCTTCTCCCAAAGCTATAGCTACAAATGGTATACATAATCTGACAACGACTTCTCTAATTAATTATGGGTGTATATTTCACCACAAATACCAATTTTTCTCTTTTTACCCCCCCTTTACTTACTAAAGTGAGGCGCTTCCTGAAGTGAGAATAGGAATTTTACGACAATTTTACAGACTATTTTCCAATCCCATTATCTAAGGAATAACTGCTTTTATTATTGATAATAATTATAATTGTTGCATGTAATGCTAAGTGCTTTCTGGAGGGTTGTCTCATTTAGTTCTCACAACAATGTAATGGGCACCATCATTCTTTCTTACAGATCAGGAAACTAAAGCACAGGTTAAGTAACTTGCCCAAGAAAACATACCATGTAAGGGGTAGAATCAATGCCCAAGTGCAGGGTGGTCTGACTTTTAGGTGGCATTGGGCTCTGCTGCTTCAGTTGCCTTCATTAGGAAGTTATAATAAAATTAGAGCTTGTTAGTCATCTTGGGACTCTACCCTAGGGTGCACAAGCTCTGCAGGGACAACTTTAACAAAGCAGGGAATTGTCACATAATGGTGGTTTCAGTGCAACCCTGTTCCTGTGTTATCTTGTGCAAGTCACTTGACCTCTCTGGGCCCAGTTTCATCCTTTGCAAAATGAAATCATTGCATTAGAAGACCTCCAAGCCTCCTTCTTAATTCAGTGACTCTACGGCTCCCTACTTTAAAGAAGCTTGTGAAATGAAAGAGGAAGGGAGGAAGTGAAGGTGGGGTTGGAGAGAGCCCGGCTCATCAGCCTAGAACCTTCTGGTTGGGTTTTCTCACCTTCCTCCGCTGCTTCCTCCAGAGCTGCCTTTTGTTTTTTTTTTATTTTTTACTTTGGTGCTTTATACGAGAAAAGTGAAATGGAGAATTAATGACTATAAATTTAACAAGGTTAATGTGGACCCCACCTGTCTGTCCCCAAAGCACATATAGCTTTTTCTCAAAAGCTTGCCACCTCAATTTTCTCTCTGTTCTGCTTCACAGATGCCTACTCAGATTAGTTTTCACAGTGGAGCCCTCACACGCCCATACTTGCTATTCAGCAAAATACTGCCAACCATTAGATGTGCTGAGATGGGGACTTAATCTTCTCAGGCTCAATTAAAATGCCAAATTAAATTAAGACGGTTATTCACAGCACACATATGGAAACCAGTGTTTCTGCTTGCAAATCCAATGAAGTTTCCAAGACATCGAAAGTGAAATAACCTTAGGAATTTACACCAATCTCAGGACAGAGTGCACTTGTCTTACTCATTAATGCAGTTTTCCGTGAGTTGAGGGTAAGAAAAGGTGAAACTTACGAGTTTAGATGAGACAAATCACCTGGTAAGTTCAGAGAAAGGTAATCTTCATTCTGATAGAACATGGCCTTTGAGTCAGATGCACAGGGGTTAAAACCTGGGCTCTGCAATTGGTTTATTATAGGACTTAAGCAAGTTACTAATCTCACTGAGCCTCGGTTTTACCAGCAATAAAATGGGAATAATAATCTTTTTTTATGGGGTTGAAGGATTGGGAAAATATATGACAATTCCAGGACTGTACTGAGCAAGAGTAGATGTTCCCTTCCCTGCCTGGCTGTGGTCCGTTTTGCCATCCAGGGTCAGAGAAGCCAGGTAACTGCCTCCACATCAGATGCTTTCCCTGGTTGGGGGCTGATCGTGTCCATTCCTTCCTCCTCAAACACAGGTTTTGTTTCTTTGAGAAGAACAAGAAGTTCTAGAACTTGTTAAGGATTGTTTATAAACTGAATCAACCTTAAAATGAGGCCATCACTATTATATTTCTTTAAAAAACTTCCCCATAAACAACTTAATTTTAGATTGTATTTACTGCTCCCTTTCCAAGTTGAAGCCAGAGGTCACTCTGTGAATGATGAGAAATGTCAGAGAAACGGGCACAGCTAATGGAGCGAATTCTTTCCGGCTCTGGAGACACATACTGTGGGGACTCAACTCAAGTCTCAGAGCTGGCTGTGCTGGAATCTGCAAGCTTGTGCATCTGCGCATGCGGGCCTTGAGTAGAAGAGGTGGAGAGGGGAGGGGAAGGGGCAGAAAGGGACTGAAAGAAGAGAGAGAAAAGAGAGAGGAAAGAAGAAGAGGGAGAGAAAAGGAGCGGAAGTCTCCCAAGTAGGGGATTTCAGTCAGAGGAGTAAATTCGGAAGCACCAACATTGCCTGGTACCCCTGCTGTCTCCACTCCCTGCTAACTAGGGTGTGTCCGGCTTCCCCAAATCTACCACCTCTGCCCCGGGAAGAACATCGAAAACCTTAAAATTGGTTAAGAACTAAACCCATACCCGAGAGGAGAAAATGTTGCTAGATACAATAAACATTCTAATCAATCCAGAGGAAGATACAAATGATCAGAAACAGAATTCTTTCACATTTCCTCTTGTGACAGAAACCATACTGTGGGCACCAAAAAACGTATCCACATTTTAAGAAAGGAAAAAGCTGTTATTAAAATTGCAATATTCACTATATACTGGTATCATGTGTTATATGGTATCTTGTGTCTCTAGTAACTGCAGAAGTTAAACGAGACTCAAGTATTATCATTTTAATACAGTTTTTCACTTTCTTGAAACGTGGGCGCATCTTTGGGGCACCCTCTGTGTATGATTTCCTGCCTGTGCATTCATGGTATACTCTTCTGACCCACATTTTTCTGCAAAAAAATTGAATGAACTCCAGGGCTCTGGTCAGCTTTTCTGCATGTCCACTATGTGAAGCCTTCAGCTGTGCCTTCACAGACCCAATTATTTCACACAACCCTCAAAGAAAACTGTGCATGGAGGAAGCCATTATCTTTGATGGCTCCCTGTACTCACAAAAGTTTTAAATGAACACGAAAAGTTAGAAGGCAAAGACGGGTTTCATGACCATGGGCTTACACTATCCAACCCTTATCCCCAGAAAGCCCAGGTGAATTTTTACCAGCTCAGGCTGTGGACACCGGAGAGTAAGTGATACAACGGAGAGGGATCTGGTAAATTCTCATTGAGTGACTAGATGCTGGAGTTTCAGGAGTAACACGAGACACACCTCTGCCTATGCCAGAGTGGACTCTAATATAGGATCCCAGGCAGCAGTACCGCTGACCCAGGAAGAAGTGTTTTCAGAATGTGGGATTAGAGAATAGTTCTTTCACAAAACATTTCCTGAAATGCTATCCTCAGGCGTCATAGCTATTGATTCTTTTTGGTCCCGGTATGTGACTGTAGTCGAATCACTTAGCACTTCCTCACTCTTCTCAGGATTAAAATATGAAACTTTCTAACACCACGCCTGACACATAGAAGGCACTCTACAAATTTGGTTCTCTTCCTCTATCTGCATAATTTTCACTCCCCAGGGCTTCTCTCTTCCTGTCAGCTGAAGTCTACAATATCCTTTACTCCCATAAAGGGGCTCAACCCCACCTTTTTCCCTCAGGATGATTTGGTTGTCTGAGCTTCTACTGAAAAGAGAACCTCAGTGTCTCTCAGAGAACATTATCCAAGAAACAAACTCTCCAGAGTACGGAAGGACCAAATTCCAGTCCGGGTCCAGAAAATGCCAGCCTGTTTTCGTTCAGCTATGGCATGGTTGGGATCTGTGCAGCCTGGATGGAGAATGAACTCTTCTCTCAGAATTCCACACACTTGACAAAAGTGGAAGAGGATCTTGTTACGAAGCTTGTGCTATATCTGGTTGGGGGAGGGACACATTCTAGTGAATTAGACAAATCTAGGCCAATGGCAAGATTAATGATGCCGGCTAGTGACCTGGCCCCTGCCCCTTGCCCTCCCCCCAGCCAACAGGCCAACACGGACCTCTCCACTTCCTGTCCTTCATCTTCCCACAGTGAGGAGTCAACATGCCAGTGCTGACTTCAGAGGCCCTCAGTCTCCATGTGGAGGGAGGCTCCGGGCCCCCCACACAAGAGAGGTCTGCTTTCCCTCTCTGTGAGTGAAGAGCTGCTTACAGTCCATCAGATCTAGAGCACAAGTTAACCCAGGTCTAAAGTTTAACCACAGACCATGTTTATAAAACATGCCAGTTGGGATGCCCTCTAAAAGGGAAAAAACTATTTCAGGTCATACCTGAAGCACTTCTCCTATTGGCGGCCAAAACTGAGACCTTGACATTTTGAAGGCCCACTGACCAAGTGTCCCAGCTGGGCCCATTTAGATTTTTCTAGAACTTGTCTCTTGAATAAACTATTTGGCATCTTTCATGTTTGCTTTTAGATTTCTCAGAGGTAAAAAGTTCCCCCCTCCTCAGGACAGAGACAATCTCTCTGCCCATCTCACTACAGGAATGTAATGCACGGTTTTGTGAGTGGCAGGAATTCTATCCGTGTATGACTGATGAATAACAATGTGTTCTCCTGTACTTCCCCTTGAGAGCTAAGTCTGGGCACACAAAGGGAGCATTTCATTATGTATTTCTCTAATATGCCCAGAAAATTCCTCAGTGGAAATCAGTTTAATATTTAACAGCTTTGAATCTTCCCCCCCTCTCTCTTTTCAAAGAAGTCTCTTTACACAGTCTGCTTAAAAACAGGAAACCACATACTCCACCCCAGCACAACCTACCACCCTCCACCAGGGTCCATATCAGTTGGGATCTGCAGTCTCTGCTTCTCCCCTTGGCCAGGTGCCTGCCCCTGGCTTGTAGGAATCCCCTCCAGGCACTCCCAGTCAGTGAACTCCCAGCCCTTCTCCAGAACATTCAGGATTTCACCTCCTGGACTGCAGGGCACCTTCTGCCCTCCCTCTTCCCGCTGTCTCCCCCCTGAGTCACTTCTCCCCTTCTCTGCTCTGACTTCCCCTTCTCTGCAGAACTGTTCCAAGCAGGCTCCTTAGCAGTTTCTTATCACAAAGTTTGCTTTCAAGAACTGCCCCCTGAAGAGAATAATCAGCCTGGCAGCCTGATTATCTCCGGCTCTGCTCTGTGCCCACCTGAAGCCTCCCCCGCCTGAGGTATTGGAACTTACATTTAGTGCTTCACGTCTCTGTCCGGGGTGCCTCTGTCTCTCAACTCTGACTTCTGCGTACTGGCAGTTAGAACAGGAAGGAAGTCAGGGAGAAAAAAAAATGTTTTAAACCTACTTGAAGAGGAAACTCTGGGCTGTTTCAAATCCTGTTCCTTTGCACTGCCTATCTCTTGATCAGCCAACTTGAGCAGTGGTCTTGTCAATTAATGGCACAAGTGGGAGCGTGACAGCCCGTGTGACGTGGAGAGGCACGAGTGTGCACGCGGGAGTGTGGCGCCTATAACCATGGGTATTATGAATAATTGTGCAGATATGCCTGAAAATCAGGTCATCTCAGTGCATCAGCCTCCTGAGGCAAGTAGCCTAAAACCAGTAGCAATAAATTCACATAGGCTTTACTTTGTACCACTAACTTCTGTTCCTACTGGGCCCTTGCCATCTTCTTTATCAGCCAGATATGTTGAAAGTTTGCTGGCAGTGAATGCACAGTGCTAAGGAATTTTGAATGTTAAACTGCGTCTACGTGGTCCTAAATTAAAAAGTGTGTCCTTAAATAGGTTTGGGGAGTTTTATAGGTTATGATTTCAAGATGGAGCTTCTTATTGCCCCAGAAAGGGTCAAGTGCTGTTTGTTGTAGTTGTTGGCTGAATTTTCTTGAAAGGAAGCAAACAAACAAGCCGACGTCCTGCCCTTGATGAAACCCAGAAATGCAATTACCGACTAAAGTAAAACTTCATTAATTCATAGGCTCCTAACTCGGAATTTGTGACACTTTAACAAGTGCTAAAATTGACTTCGCACCAGATTTGAGGAAATGGCTTATGAAGTAATTTAGCTGGGAGCAAGTTGCAGAGGCCATGTTTAAACCATTTGAGGAAACAGTTTCTGAGCACCCGAGCCACGTTTAGCCTACACATTCTCACAGCTGTTGCCAAATGTAACTGCTTATTTAGACTATTATTTCAATATTCAGTATTTATGCGATATCAACATGTTTAGAGCTGACTACTCCAACACGGATCTTTGGAGAAACTGACATTTACTTCGCTTTCCTCTAAAATGTCTTTCATTTTCTTCTCTTCATTTTGGAAGTTCATGTCACGGGATTTGTCCTTAGCGTCGACGGAACTGACTGATAAGAGAGCAGCAGTCACGCGGGGTGAAAAAAGAGACTAATCTAGAAAAATGTGAAAAGGAAAACAACATTTAATTTAAATTAGTAAAGTACTAAAAGCCGAATGAGTTTTATTCTATGTATTTCAAAATAATGTAAACAGAAGCTAGTCCTTGAAATAATATGTATAATTTTATTATATATATTATGGAAGCAAATACTAATTTATACAGAAGGCAGTGAATTTTGCACCCCGGTACCCTCAAGAGGGAACACATTGATTCATTCAATAATATTTGTTGAGCACGTCTTTCCTTCCAGGTGGTCTAGGCATTGACGGGCAGTAGTAGACAGCAGATGGCATCTCTGTGGCCTTGTGGAATCCATGTTCTAATGAGAAGACAGACAATTAAAAGAACTGGAACAAGAAGTGTTTGACAATCGGAAATGGTCAATTCAGGATCTACATTGCCTCCACCCACTTCCCATGCTATAGGGAACACATCATAGTGAAACCTGACATGTCTTTTTCTGTCTGCTGAGTCCAGTGCACCCTCAGAACTTTCCTTAACACAGTGCCTTAGACACAGATGTTGGAGGGCATGGAAGCCTCCCAGAGATCTGTAAGATCAGTATGTATCTATGCAGCATGAGTATATCTATGTGAGTGTGTATTTTGGGGGAGAGAGAGCATTCATAATTTTATCAAAAGAGATCCACGATCTCAAAAAGACTCATAATTACTAATTTAGATCTTCTTCTGGTAATACAGTGATGGACTTTAAGTTAGAAAGACACTTCCATAATTCCCTAAAATATCTTGAAGCATCGCAGTCAGGGCAGGGGGCTAAGTGAAATTACCTTCTCTTGGGCTTGTCTGTTGCAGGCCATGATTCACGTGTATTCATTAGATAAGAAAACTAAGAGTAAGTGACTCCTCCAAGGAATGAAGACGGCAGACACTCCACCTCTAACCTATGCTGCTGAAGGTGTGTCATGTACTGGGAGGCCCTTTCTCATATCTAAGCTTCTGCAAAGAGAAGAAAATGCCTGCTGCGATCAGAAAAATGCTTACTCTGAGCATGTTAGTGTTGTAAGGTCAATGAAATCCATGAACTTGGAAACCTGCATAAGGATTTCCCGAAACATGATCAAACCTTTAAAGTACCGTCCAGCTTTCCCCTGCTGTTCTAAGGATACAACCAGAAAGTAAATTCAGGGCAAATCTTCCATGGGGCGGTATCTTTGCTATAAGCCTGAAAAAGTGTCAAATGACCACTGACTGTTGAGACTTCCCCTTATTGCCCAGACACATTTCTCGTGGGCTGTAAGCAGAGATGCTCAGGGAAGGCTTTTGCCCTGACAGCTGTCCATTCTGAACTGTGCTCACATTGCAGTAACCCCAGCCGGGATGGAGGGGGACAGGTGTGGTTCAGGCAGCCGCGCCAGCTGTGCTTCCCATGTCCGTGTGTCTTTGCCCAATATTTCACTTCTCTGAGCCTTAGTGTCTTCATCTGTAAAAGAGGGATGATACCAGCCTTTGATGATACCAGCCTTCGGTGTTGCTGGAAAGTTTGAACATGCTGCGTGATAAAGCAGTAAGCACATAGTTCCTACCTCAGACCAAGTGCTCCATAAATAGTCCACACTGAGAAAATCATTTCCACATTACATTTGCATCCTTATTACTGGATAGCAAATATGAGAACCTGAAGAGAGTCATTTTCATTTAACTGCTCATGATCAGCGCATGTAGATCTCAGATATTACCACTTTCCTTTTCGAAGCTTCCCACCACTGATCCAGGACAGAGGTGCTAATTTTTTTCTGCGCTACTAGAATGTTCATGGTTTATGCAATATACTTTAGTATCATAGTAGGTGCTGAATTGTATCACTACGTGATTATTTCTTGAATTTTAGATTTATCCCTCCACTCAAATATAAAATGCTTGAGGAAAGGGTTGTTTCTTATATGCCTTGTATTCCTTGGTGTACCTAATGTAAAACTTGACTGAATTGTGGAAGAATCTGAGTGAAATACTTCAGCACAAATCTATGTGTCTACGTTAGTTAGACCTGCACTCTACCCCCTCCATCCACTTACCCATCTCCTCCCTCTGGTGAGAACGTTGCCTTGGGGTTGCCTTGTCAAGGGTGTGAGTAGGTCACTTGTCAGCAGGGGGAATGAGACCAACTTTTTCCTTTCTTCTTCTTGTCATATAAGTGACATATTGAACTATATATATTATATAGTATTTCATGGCTTTGGCCTAAAAGGTCATTTTTTAAATTTAGCAAGTGCTTAATAATTCCTGCTTATATTCCAGGATGTGTGTACAAGAACAGAGATAAACAAGACCCTGGGTAGCTAGAGATGTACTTGGGGAAGACAGGGAGTAAACAAGTTTAAAACATTTTGTGAGCACAGGAAAAGAAAATACACATGACGTATCCTGGGAGCACAAGTAAGGATATCAAGGAGGGCTTCTTGGAGGAAGTGACCAGGCTCAAAGAAGAAAGTGATGGGTTCTGAGGTGGAAGAGAAGCCTGAACAATAACAGAACATCTTGAAAATGGTGTGGTATGTACAGGCAATTATGAGGAAGCGGCTTAAGGTTGCTGGAATGTAAAATGCAAGTTATGTAAGGTTGAGAAATGTACCTGGAAGGGGCAGGCACAGGGTCCAGATCACAATGGACCTTTTACTCCATGTTCATGAGGATCTTGACCTTGAACCTGTCAGTGATGAGAAGCCACTGAAAGTAAAGGAAGGGCGTGGTCAGTTTTGTTTCACATAGTTCACTCTGATAAGCTGGTGTGGATGGATCTGATGAGAGCAGAAACCACTAGCACACTCCTGAGACTTGAGCTAGTCAGGAGAGAGACAAAGAGTGTTCAGAGTTGAGAAATATTTAGGTGAAATTGACATGACTTGTCAATTGGTGGGATGTGAAGGATGAAGGTGACCTTGGTGCTGTAACTGAGATAGACAATGCAAAAGAAGGAATGGATATACCAGGGGTATGATGACTTGAGTTTGGACGTGGCAAGTGTGGAGTCTGAAGAAATGGAGTCATTTCTAGAAGATGATATCTGACAGACGGTGATATATATGAGCCTGGGTTTCAATTCTTGCCTAATAATTTATACGATGTCATCGGGCTACGGACGGTAACTTAAACCAGGTTACTCAAAGTAAGGTCTGTGTACCAGCAAGTCAGCATCACCCAGAAACCTGTTAGAAGTGGAGAGTTTCAGGCCAGATCAGAATCTGATCAGAATCTCCGGAGTTAGGCTCACAGATCCATTTCAAATATTTCTGCAAGTAGATTGTGAAGTCTGAGAAAGACCGTTTTAAACCATACGGTCACCCAGAGAGAGTAGAAAGAGAAGTTGGCCAAGCAGGACCTGGTGACCCCTTCTCCCCGCTCCTCTGCTGGCCCCCTGGCCCTCCCTTTCCTGTGCCTCTGGTGAAGTTTTCTATCAGTCTCCTTACGTGTTTTCTGTTTCTGTAACATCCTCTCTAACACTCTATTCTCCTCTTTGCATCAAAGTGAAAACCATACTTACAATCACATCATCCTCTGACTCTGGCTTTCAAACCTCTAGGGACCTTTCATCCACTTAGAATAAAATGAGAGTTGCTGCTATCCCTACAGCTTGGCTTACTGTGGTCCCCCGCCCCCCTCTGAGACAGCACCTGATGATCCTGCTCCTCAGCCCTAACCACATTGTGTCAAGGTCGATCTGTGTGACCAGTGCAATGTGGCAGAAGGGTGGCATGCCACTTCTGAGGCTATGCAGTCAAAGGCATTGTGCCTTTTCTCTTGATCTCTCTTAGATTACTCGTTCTGTAGAAAGCCAGGCACCACGTCACAAGGACACTTAGGCCCCCTATGGAGTGGCCCACGTGATGAGGACCTGAGGCTTTCTGCCAACTGCCACATGAGAGAGCTGTCTCGGAAGTGAAT